TAGGGGGTTTTTTATACTTTCTTTTTGGATAGTGATAAGCACAATTCACTTTGTAGATGTTCCTATACGTGGTTTAACATTGTGGGAAGTAATGAAACAAAATTATGTAGAGTAATTAGGAAAAAAATTAACAAATAAATTTAGGAAGCTGGAAATCATTGTCTAATATACATGCAGAATGTAATAGGAATTTTGTAGACAAAGCACCCAACTTTGTAAAATCTTCTGACTAAGCATCCCCTTAGTAGATTTAATTGCAGCATGTTTGCAGCATGTTTAATGACATTTTCCTCTCAGATGCTATTGCTTTGTGATTTGGGTCTCTTGAAGATTAATTTATCTTCTATTCTCTTGCTCCAGATCCATAATTATGGTCCTTCTATTAATCTGGGCATGGTGCAAGTGCTGAAAATGAATTAGAGCCTGTTCCGTGGAGCTTACAGGAACACTGCAACTCCATCTTGTTTTCTTCTTTTACCCTGAATTTTAAGTACCTCACTTGTTATTGCTCAGATTTGGACAAACCTAGCTCTAATTCATTACATTCACAGTAAAATCCAAAACCATGAAGGTTACAGTGTGAGCACAAACTTCATTTTGCAGTGTCCCATTACAAATCATGCATTCTTAGTGCAAGTAAACTTTATCTATAACCCTAACAGCATCAGATATCAAAAAGATGGTTTTGTGTCACTGTCATTTCATAGACTTTAGAGGAATAACTCAAATCTTTCCTGCTCCAGCACACTCAGCTCTTGCATTTTAAAGGATTTGCATCACTGAAACTAAGTGGAGATTCTTCCAACTTCCAGATCTATTTCAGCAGCTACAGGTGTGCTTCTCACCCCGTTTTGCTTTGTGGTTTGAATAGTATCTAAATTTTAGATCTCAAGTGAGAGTTTTGGTAGTTGTTTGGAGGTTTATTTATTTTTGTTTAGTCTTGCTTTTATAAAGTTCCCAACATTATTGCCAAATGGATTCACATTGTGTGAGCCCTAGAGAACCTTAACAGAGCACCCAAATTCTGAGTTTAGAAATGTTATTAAAGCATCCCTATTTGTGAACTGGCCTGCCCATGTACCAATAACTGTATTGAGTGCTTGCCACTGTCCAAAATGCAGATATAGATGTGACCTCTGCCACCAGAGCTCTATGTACTTTCAAGAAAAGCAATAAAACTAAGAGAAGTATCCAACCTCTCCATTTATACACATTGGTACAGAATTGTTTCTTCAACTGCCTTGTGCTAAGTTAAAATATCCTCAAACCCACAAACTTGTAGAGCTCTCTGAAAGCAGTTTACATACATTATTTTATATGTTCATAGGATACATACACTTGGTATTTTGCAGGCCTATTTTGGCAGGTTGTCCTAGAGTGACATTATGACGCTTGTATCCCCAGTCATGTGTTCTGTTTATGCTGGATATTATTTTCTGTGCCTTTAAGACTGGCTCTGAAGAGTGAATGTTTTGTTTTGGTTTTTGTTATCAGCTTGCTCCCCCACAGCTGGCGGGACACAGAGACGGGGCAGTACATAGTGCGGCTTTTGCTTTTTGCTTTGCTCATGCTTCTGCTGTGCTCCTGCTTTGCTTTTGCTTCTGCTTGTTAGTTAGTTTAGCTAAGCAGTCCAAATCTTTCCCTGGTCTGTTTTTCCTTTCCCTTTTTGGAACTATTCAAACCTGCTCCGTACTGGGACCTGGGAAACACCAAGAGTTTGCCTCTTGTGGCCTACAGGAGCTATCCCCAGCGCAGGAGGGACCGACAACAGAGCGACCACTCCCAGGAAAGACTTTCTGAATTTGTCGTCCTTTTCAGATTGGTGAAAGAGTGTTGTCATCCAGTATTGTTCATTTTGTGTGCTGGGGGTGTTTTGCCTGTTAAATAAACAGGTTCTTTCCACTTCTCTCCGAGGAATCCTTCCCAAACCGGTAGGGGGGAAGGGGCCAAGTAGGTTTGCTTTCTGGGGGGCCCCCTTTTGGAGGTTTTCTCCCAAATTTGCCCTAATCCAGGACACAGGTGATGATCTGAACTACAAAAGACAGGGGGAGGAAATCTCATGCCACCTGTAACCTTAAACCCATGGAAACTTCAGGGAGTGCTGATATAAGAATGCATTACACCAATGAAAACAGTAGAAAGTGAGGCAACATTATCAGGTATGTCAGTGAGGGGTGATAAAGAGGGTGTGTAACAATAAAACAGATAAATATCATGTCCACAAACATTAAAAGCTTCTTTCTAGGGTTTTCACTCGTGCAATCGTGTTCTCAGTAGGCACATGCACATCTATCTCTCCCAGAGACCTCTGCAAGTCATTAACAGTTTTTAACAAATTTGCCAGGCAGCAAGGTTCCAGACTAACCAAAATTTTCAAGCATTAGTGAATTAAGTGACCAGAAACATTACAACTAGCTCTGTTGAGGAAAAGTCTTATCTAGATTAAGATATTTTTAGATGTCAAGGATCCATGTGCGCAAGAGTGACCATGCAAAAATCTCAACCATGACAAAACTTTCATTCAGAGATTGCTCTTTATTGAGACACCACAGTGAACAATAAGATGTACATCTCCATAAAGCACGAGCCTAGTTCTGATATTTACGGACTGGACTGTTTATTTTGGACATTTAATATTATTAGTGGCAAGATTCAGAAGAATGAGATTACTGCAGTGCAGCTGATAAGTGAGGCTGCAAGGCACAACATCAAGCACAATGTTCCAGGCACATGGGCTTGGTTTAAGAGAGCAGGGAAGGAGATGGTCCACACCATTTTGTAGAAGCAGGGTGTTTGCTGGGTTCAAGCTGACAGAAATGTCACCAGACAGGCATAAGTGCTGAAAGGCAACTGAAGATGTACTGCTCAGTGTGAAAAGCTGATACAACAATTTAAAGTGGAGAAGGAAAGAGAGACTGAGCTTTGGGACTGTGGCTTCTAGTGGTTTAGCTTGAATTAACAAGGTTGCTGTTATAAAGCCAAAGGAGAACAGATTGTATTATCTGTGACATAAGACACAGTATGGCAAGGACCCCTATTTTAACAAGAGAAGAAGTCAGTCGTGTTTTGAAGAAATATTTGGCAGAGTGGGGAAGAAAAGGAGAGAGGTGTCAGACCATGCCTCTCAAGTTGTGAACCCCTTAGACTTGTTTGGCTTCAGCCTGCTTGTTCCTCTCTCTGCATATGATACCACCTTTCACATGATTAGCAAAAGCAGCTATGTCACCTCTGCTTGTAGGGGGGAAAGTCAAACATATGGCATCCCTCTCAGAAACAGGAAAGCATTTGAGAATTAATTAATCATCTAGAAATATTACCAAACCTGCCTTTGCTAAGAGGTAAAAGCATTGTCAGATATTTTAATTATATGGGATGCCTGCTCTGCAGAAATGTATGTGTTGAGGTTTGACCAACAGCCATTGAAAGTGGAGTAAATACGAAGCTGCTTAGGAAACAAAAAGTAAGGGTTGAAAAAGATGAGACTGGAGGAACGATCTGCCTTGAGAAGGGAAATTTGTGCAGGGCAAAATGAAAAGGGCAAAAGTTAAAAATGTAAAGAGCATGTATTTAAATTAAGTTTTCAGGGTGACGTTTCAAATAAACAACCACTGATCTCAAACAGATTGCAGGAAAATATCAGGGAACATAGGTACAGGAATACACACAGTCACAATCTCAGTTGTATGTGTGTACAGGAAACAGGCATATAGGAAAAGTAACAGGAAAAATACCGAAGGTGTTTGGCAGCTGCCAAGTGAGAAAGGGGACATTAAAAGAGCAGCCGTAAAAGTTCAGTACTATGGAGATCATTTGCAGGAAGAGCACCTCAGTCAGAAGCAACTCCTAGAGAGGTGGAGTCTCTTGAATATTGCTACAAGATATGGAATTAGCACAAAGTAGCCCAAATTCCAGCTGGATTTGAGGATGTACAGCAGTACAGAGTGATGTTGTACTGCACAGGTTGTACCAGACAGTGACAAAAAACCAACTCAGTCAGAAGGAGCAGACTGGACAACTCAGACTCTTGAGATCACACAGCAAGTATAAAGTAGCCAGGGTTAAAGATAAGAAAAATGCACATGGTTGAGTTTCATTTGCTCTATCAAAATCTGAAGGAAAAGGGTAACATAATTAACACTAAGGCAGAAAAAGAGAAATTTTTTTCCTGTACCTCACAAAGAGCAACACAATATTAATTTAAAAAAAAGATAGAGCTGAGAAGATTAAAGCAATGCATAAAGCAGAAAGGGGACCAAAACTTCAAGGTCAGCAAGAAAAGATATCTTAGGGTCTCATTTTGAGAGATAATTTGTGTAGGGAAGATGGATGAGTACCTGGTCTGAGAGCAGTTTAAGCAAAGTAACAAGAGCCAAATAAACTTGTCTGTGTATCTTCAACACCACAGGCAGGGTTACCCCCCTAGTATATTTCTTCTTTGTTGAAACCATTCTTTTAAGAAACAGTATTCTCACACCTGCCTGGGTGTTGATAATGTGTGGTATTTTCTGTCAGAAGAAATACAGTTTTCAAGAGTGCAGAAGTGAGTTAGCATTCTCCATTGTAATACTTTATAAATAAGGTTAGCTTGCCCTCCTACACATAGTACATTTAACATGTTGAAGACAAATTGACTCAATAAGATATCTCCTGTCTCAGAAAATAGCAAGAACAACATGTTGATGACATTGAAACAGTAAAAGATTGTATTCTAAATGTTCCAACATCTTTGACACATTATTTCTGAGGTTCTAAGATCAGTGGCATGAGATTCTTATTTTCCAACCTTCATAGTATTATCTTTCATGCTTTTCCTTGGCACCATGAATAAAAAAGTTCCTACTGTGGAATTTTCCTTTGTCCTTGTCCCTATTCCTTAACTTTAGTGTGAAAGGATCCACATCTCCCTGTGCCAACTATTTTTTTCTCTCTTCTCTCAATTTGCAAACAGCAGGATGACAAACAGGATCCATGCAGTGAATAAAATAAGTTAGTTCCTAAACTGTGAAAATTATTCTAGCAAGTTACACATGTGTGTTATAACACCTGGTACCTGATGACTCACAACTTTGGCCATTGTAGGTTGCACCAGTTGGAGGAGGAACTGGTTGGTCAGCTATTTCTCTGATGCCACCCTATTGGCCTGAGCAGAAGGGAACTCAAAGAAGATACCAACTCTTGGTATCTTTGATTCTGGACAAATAACTTTGTTTGGATTGAAATCTTCATCACTTCTCCTGTAGTGTTTCTTTACAGCTTCTTATGGCTTACTAGAATTAAAAGGGAGGCTCTAGGATCCAATTCAAGACAATTCACAGCCGTATCTGTTAGCTTCACTTACTCATCACAGCAGCTTAGGACAGAAGGATAATATCTATATGTGACTCTCAAAAGGAATTAAAAGTCAAGGAGTCCTTCTGGAGGATTCAATACAAATTACATCATTTTAAGCAGCTATCTATAGTATAGATCTATAGGATAGTATCGTATCTGTTAGGGGTTTTCATGTGCTACTCCAAATTGTAGCTCAGTGCACCTGTCTTTGGAGTTTTTCACTCCCTACCCAGGTCTCTTTCAGGCTCCTTGCAGGGACGCATGACTAAAGGCTCCTGAGTAGCGTCAGGTGTATGAGCAGAAATTTCTGGCTGAGGCACCCTACACATTTTGTCCTAATGAGGAGAGCAGGGGCAGCAGCTTCTTACTCAGAGCCTTTGCAATTTTGAGATTGACAAATACTCCCTCAAATTCTAGGATAAGAAAGGGAGAGGAACAACAATCTTAACCCTGGAAATGCTCTCAGTTGGACATGACAATTTATATCCAGGGGTGAACCCCAAATTATCTCCAATGACACTACTTGCATTCACATCAGATCCATGCAGGGCCCTATCCAAGGTTTAGCTAGTTTAAGTTTTCCAATCAAATTTGGCTCAAAAGCAAGATTTGCAGTTCAATGGAAATTTGAGGGGGCTTTTCAGACTTGATTCCAGTCCAAAACAAATCTAAGTGAGATATTTTCAGGAATTCTTCTGAACTGGAAGTTCCCCAAACCATTCAGCTGCTCAGTGATTATCACAGATAAAATGAGCATTGACTTCACAAAGCAGTGATAGGGACTCAAACTCCCTGTTCCAAGTAGTTCCATCTGCGATGTGTTCTGTGGGGAGGACATGATAATCTCCAAAGTTTGCCAGAAACTTAGGAACTATCTTAGATCCAGTAAAATCAAACAGGGCTTAAAATGCTTTTAACAAATCTTTTCTATCTGAGAAATGACACTTGCTACTGAAAAAGAGTTATCTCTGGTACACCATGCAGTCCTGATCTCCCCAGCTGAGAAACTCCAACCTTCCTTTGAATGAAGGGCTCATGTGCTCTGGGTCTTGTCTCAGCACAGCACCCACACCCAAGAGTAGGGGAGTACTTCTGGCTTACACACTCAGAACATCAGTAGTGCATAGTCCCATTAATCACAGGCTATATTTAAACATATACAACATAGGACATTCTTGTTTTCCTCCCTTTGGAATTAAGGGCTTCTGAATGACCTAAATAATTGCTACTCCACAAAAAATTCCAGGTAGAAGATTTTCCAAAGTCTTCAGCCCACAATTAAGAGTGAGGAGCACTAGCCTACACTCCTACAGCTTCAAAAGGAGCACAAAATGCTAATGTCTGCCTCTTGTTGATAAGAAAGTCAGCTGAACTGCCAGCATCCACTCCAAATTCCTCCACTATCTTATTGAAGTCATTGCACTGAGAGGGCAGGTATTAATACTTTTCCTAGAGTCTCAAAATCAACTCAAACACTTTCAACTCAAAACTTCTTCCTTGACCTGTGTATGACCCACCCCAATATTTAATATCTAATTAATCCTGTTTGCTACAAGAGGATTCATGTGCCTGAGTACACTCTGCTGTACTTTGTATCTGTGAGGAAGCAGCCTGGGCAGGGCTATTTCCTAAAGGAAGGTGAGCCAAAGGAAATGCTACGGTCACCAAGGCAGGTGCCTCACTGGCCAAGCCCCATCCCACACAACTTCAGAATATCTGTAGGTACAAATCCAGAGATGGTGGTCAGGCCCAGTGAAGAATCCAGATCCTAAGGCAAGACTCTGATGATGAGTCAGGTTCAGGTCAAGCTAGGAAGTCAGAGCATAGCTTCAAATTTGGCTGTATAGCAGGGCTCTAACCCATAACTTCTCCAGCAAAGCTTAAAAAGGGAATGAAGGGCTGAGGCTGAGCTTAAATAGAGCACCTGATCTCTCAAGGATTGTGGGTAGAGGACTCAGGTGTGGCTCATAAGGGATATTAAGACTTAATAGTGCAATCAGGGCCCTGACAATGCCTTCCCAAGTGATCTCTATGTGATTTTGGGAACTACTGCAAAATGCCAAAACAAATAATAAATACTAGTCCTTATTAACAATATCAGAAAGAGCTGCTTAGCAAAATCCTGCTCAAGAGAGTCTTTTCCTATGTTTTAATGGTTCCTTGGTAGCAACTTCTACATCCATTTTTAACCCATGCAAAGGAGATCATACCACTTTACAACACCTCAAATTACCAGCAGTTTTTAAATTATGACAGTGCATTGCATCCTCCTTTTTCAGTAGATCTAGAGCTAGCTAATAAATCTTATCATCTTCTGCTTTCCTCTAATCTTTTATGCAGAACTTGATGGTAAACTCTGAGCTGTTCCACTGTGAATGCAGTTTTCACTCAGGTGAAAAAACCTTTGGAGTTTCCACTCACACTGGGACAGATTGTATTCCAGGATGGCTGTTGCAAATGGCACAGTACTCTGGTAGCAGAAACTCTCTGTGGGAATCACTCAGTTTCTTGGGAATACCTGGAGCAACTGCTCCACTGGATTAGCACTCCTGAAAAATACAGGAGAAGAGGAAAAAAATCACCTCTCCCCAAACATGCTATTGCCCTGAGCAATCAATTCTTTGCTCATTTCTTGTTCAGACTGGCATTTGCAATCAATCCCACAATGAAGTTATTTGGACAAGACATCAATATCTACCAATGTTAAAGCCTCAGTCCATGCTTTTGGGTAACTACAAAACCGTAGCTCCACTTATTCCAGTCTGTGGTGGAAGTAAGTTGCCCCTCTGGTTGTGAGTCTGAAGAACCACTGCTGGTCCATTCCCACCAGAAACCTCTTTCCTACAAGTAGCTGTGAACATATTCTACTGTTTTTACCTCTTGCAGAACATAAGGTAATTTTTCCTGTGAGAGGCTTACCTTTGACTCTTAATAGGCTGTCATCCTCTTCAGTAATATTAATTCCAGTCCATAAACAATATCATCTGTGTCTAATTGAAAATGAGGTTTGCAGCCCTGGACAGTTAACAGAGAAAAAGTCAAAAGAACCATTTAATCTCTGAATAGGAAATCACGCAACAACCATTGAAATAACATTGATTATACAAATGTTATGTGATATTGCAAAAAAAAAAAAAAAAACAGGAAAAAAACTTTTTCTGGTAGGATTAAAGTCCCTCAAAACTGCACATCTGGAAGTCTCTGCGGAGCTCTCTGGTGTCCAAAGATCCTAAGAGTAGAATTTTCCTCCTTGCTGTTATGTGTGCCAGTCCTAAATTCACTCTTTTTAACACAATCCCCTTTGCTTTGGGTGCAGTTTCAGGCCAGCAGCTTCGGGTTGATCCCAATAAGATATATTTGTAAATATATCTTATTTTGTTCAAAGATACCAACATGTGCCCAGAGTGTTACTGAGGTGCAGTGAGTAAGCCAGGAGTAATCCTGGACCAAAGCCTCTGTTAGCAGTGCCTCAAATGTAGTTGCCCACAATGACAATCAAAGGCCACCACATTGAATGCTGCAATAAAAGCATTTTTTCTCATTTTTAGGGCCAATTTCTATTTCCAATCTTCACTTAGTATTCAGTCTGAAAAACAGATTAAAGTTTTACAGAATCTTGAGAATCATCTATTCATGGAAACTCAGAGCAAGCCTTTTAAAGTGTTCAAGGTAGTTTCAATCCAGGAACCAAATCTGCCATGTTGTTTTTCGTTTGGTTTTGTTTTTTTGTTTTTTTGGTTTTTTTTCCTAACAAGAATTATGGTTGACACACAAGAACAGCTGAAGGCTCAGTTATGCCCTTTTGATATATTTTTTCCATGTCCTTTGTGGCCTCTTCTTTCTTTGCTTGATGGCAAAAACAGATGAGGTTGGTGTTTGATGTGCTGTTTCTCCCTCTGAGGGCCTGGAACTGGCTTGGAACACTGCAGCCTTGATCTTTGCTGAATCAAGTAGAAAATCATGACACCCAACCAAAAGGTCTTTTGGGCTATTTTGCAACTGGCTGTTTAAAGCAACATTACTGTATCAGAACAAATGTAACGGAAACCTCCAACTCCATCTCTTTAGTGTTTCCCCTGTAGAACTGCTTTTTCTCCAGTGGGTTTACATTTTCTTTGTTTTACATGTCTTCCTTTTTTTTCCTTTTTGCTTTTCACTACACTTTAGCCACACTAGCAGGCATATAAAAAAATCACCCCAGTTCTAGACCTACAAAAAATCCTGCTTTAAACTTTGTCTAAAAGATGATTTCAGCCAAAGTTTTCTTCCTCTGGAAAATTATCATCATACTGAGCTGCTTTTGGTATTGTAGGACAATTTGTTCAGAGTTGTAAATGACTTACTCCACAGAACTTACATATTTACTTACAGTATGTACTGAACAGTTCCTCAGAGAATTTGGCACAGGCTGGATTTATAAGGTACCACCTGTCAGCTAACAGTCACCATTATTCACCCAAATTGCACAAGCAGACAAACTCACTTAATCTGTTTAGCCTAAGGGTTTGGTCAAATACAGGCTGAGAAGGGTCTTGGCTTTTCCATTTTCAATATAGTGCCCCTTGTTTCTGGCTAGTTGTGTGTCAGCCATTATTTTCTTCTGTCAGCATTTAGTCAAACTATTCCTTTGCATTACTGTAAATTTGCTTTGTCTTGTAAGCCAACTATGTTACTTTTAAGGATGTCTTGAAGGATGAGACAGGCTCTCTTGCCAGCCTCAGAGCTGTGCTAACAGAGCTCGTGGCAGGCAGTTCTCAGCCTCCTTAGGAGTGCTTGCTTCCCATCTTAAAACACTACTGCAAGAAATGAGAGGTTTATGGGGAAATTCCATTGCTTTTTTATGAGCCAGTAACTTCCTCACTGGCCTCAATCCAGGGATATATATATATATATATATATATATATGTATATATAAAAAATTTGTTTATTTATTTATTTTTATTAATCTCCTGATAGCTTATCTGCTTCAGTGGTGTATGTGCATTCCACAAATTTTCCACAGTACCCTGCAAGTGAGGTGAGGACCCTGGTTTTTTCCTACTCCTGACTCCTGGCTGTCCTCTAACCACTACAGATGCTAAACCTAAGACTCAAGGCTTCCTCAAAGCTCAGGAGAATGCCATGTCCTTCTGGTGGCCAAGGCATGCAGTGCTGTCCAGACTGTACATTCTGACCCCCATCCTTTTTGCTCCTTATCCACCATCTCCTACGTGGGGGACAGCGGATCATTTTTGGGAGAAGCTAATCATTCCCTTTATGCTTAAGCCAAAGGTGCAACAGAAGGGGAAACACTGGAGGCCTTTCCCCAGGCTGTAAGAGAGTGGTTCCTGGATGCTGGACTCATTGTCTCGCCAAAGGTCAAATACTGCAGTCACTGGAGTGCCAGGAAAGGAAAGGAAGACTCTGCTCATGTTTCTCTGTAAATTATAGAGCCACACTTCCCTTACCTCTGAATTTTGTTGTCGTGATAGGTTTATTTGACTGAATTTTGTGCTTCTCTGATTTAATTGTTATGTTATTAGGGTGAGTAAAATAAAGCTGCAGCTTTTCTTTTGCTGTATTAGTGCAGTTTAATTACATTTGGGAAAGGCAAAAAGGAGAGTGGGAGCTTGCCAACATTAATGCTGTCTGTCATTCACAGCCCATTGATGACAAGGAGTTGAAAGCTTGGCAGTTACTCTGGTAATCAGCAACCTGGCTGATGACGAATGGAAAAGATTATGTGAAATTTCCTGAAAGGGGGGAAAAAAAGAGTTCTCCAAAGAAATAAAATAGAAAATGAGAACAAAGGGGAAAAAAACCCAAACCCCAACTTCTAAATCCAACAAGAAATCCTTTTTATAATGTTTACATGAAAGACCCTACATGAAGCAGATGTAATAAATGAAAATTTTCCAATAGTAAACTGCGCTTAATGCCTATAAAAGGAATATGTTCCTAAAACAGGAGCACAAATATGTCCACTTGATTGTTGAAATGGACTTTTTCCCCTCAGCTGAAGAATACATATCACTGATAAAAACCAACCAGACAAACAAAAAACCTTTTATTGCTATAGTTGGCCTCCCAGTAATATTTTTTCATTTACAGCACTGAAAATCAGCTCATCTTTTAGAGCTGTTCCAAATATATATTTCTACAGCTTTCAAAATGCAAATAATTTGTTTTCTTTTTTATTCTCTCTACTTAATTTTCTATTTTTAATACAGGAGGATGCAGATATTTCATCTTACTATTAGGAACATAAGCAACTGCTATTCAGGTTTTAGAGTCATTTGCAGTATCTCAGCCTCTGACACAGTAGTAAAGTTCAAGAAAAACTCATGTTAAATGAGACTTGGAATTACATCAGTGTTTAAGGAGAAATTCTACAGAAGAAATTCTACATTCCACATGGTTTTGTTGTGACCTGTAACATGCATTATTTGTGACATTTCTCATTTGTCTTAATTAAAAGCTGAATATTATTCCAAAGCCCTTTTTTTTTTATTGGCATCTTTGGGAAGAAACAATGATGGCTTGTTTGAGGTTTTGTTCCATCATTTTTCAGTAGCTGCTGGATATACCTACTCAGTTTCACAAGTTATAGAATTGTATTTTGGTATTCAAGACTTCAGCTTTTCATTTTGCTCACAATGGGCAAATGAAAAGGTCCTCTGGTATCTATAGTATTATTAGATCGTATTTTTAAGAACAAGAAAAACCCATACAATTGGACAATATGCAATTGTTTGCTGGGCATTCAAGCAATTGTGAGACTTTTGTTCCTTCTGCTTTGCCAAACATGGCACAGGACAAGAAAGAAACAAATTGCTTTTAATCTCAACATTAAGCGACTCAGGCAATTTAAGATTTACCAGTAGGCAATGTTGACTGTGCAGGGCTGTGAATAAGGAACTTCTGTCTCACACTGTTGAACAGATACATCACTATGTGGCTCCAGGCTTTCTCCCCACAGGCAGAGTACCGCAGCTCCGTATTTTATGAGTTGCAGGGAACACCTAACCCCAGCTGAAAGGAGTTGCTAAAGGTTTACTGGAATACAACAGGAGGATGATTTGATTGGTAAGTTTAGTGTTAAGAACTAGCTGTTTATTTATTAGCTTAAAAAATCACACAGGTTAGAAACCTCCTGCCCACTAAAGAAATGACAATGCAATATTAGTCATTCATCAGACCCACTTCCAAATTTCTGAGGAAAAGATGTAAAATTCAGCAAAAAATCACTTTCAGCTTTTATTCTATAGCAGTGTGAAGCTCTACTGCCTGAGGAGCAGATCTTTCCATCCTGGACAGCACATCATTCTCTCCATGTGATAACCATGCCCGGGCACAATCTGATGTTCCTCCATATTTGTCCAGGTTTCATGGACATACAGCCATGCCTCAGAGCTCAGGTGCACCACATACCCTCCTGTCCTGGCAAACACCACCCAGACTGTGTGGATCAGCTGCTCCTTGCACATATGCATTCCATCTGATGCCTCAGGAAGGCACCTGGGAGGTGCAGGCTGGAGTGCACAGGCACAGATGAGCTCTGCAGGGCATGTGCAGGGAGTCTGACATGTCCCAGAAGTGATGAGAACAGAGACCCTACGATAGGATGGATGGCACATTTCAGAGCTGTAGGCTGTCACTCAGCAGTGGTCTACTGCTCCTCTTCTGCTGTGATGCTGTGCTGACAGAAGTCTGCACTGTTATCTGGAAAAACTGCTCAAGAAACATAAAAAAAATTCCTAAATGGGCTGGATTTGTTAATTTAATGGGTGGTTTTGAAGCACAGGTTTAATTTAAACTACATATAAATAATTACCAGCCACCAAAAAGCCAAATCAGGTACAAAAATTCAGCCGAAATGATGCACTGTTATATACAGGCTTATGTTTATTATCTATTTCTGTCTTCCTCAGTGATCATCTGAACTTCATTTGCCCAACTGCCCTTCACTTTAGATAAGAGGATCATTTCTTCCCCTATCAGTTGAAATTAATTTTTGTCTGTTGCTACCTAAGTGCTCACATAGAGCATTTTCCATCTTCAAAAACAATAATTCAAAAATGAGATATATGAGCCCTTCCACCTTGAAGTAACAATCTGTATAACCAAAGCTAACTATTTAGGGGTCCCTTACTTCATTATTTCAGAATTTGATCAAAATACCTACAAATAGGGATTGTCCTTGCTGGACAACATAATTCCATAGTACCTTCCCCCAAAGAAATTTATTTAAAACAAAAAAAATCATGTAACATTTTGTTGAAATTTTGTCTGCACCTCTTCAATTGACACAAAGAAGTATTTGCTGTTCCTGAGCTTCAGAAGGTGACACCACCAGCCTGAGTGCCTTGGTTAAGCAGATGGAACAAGATGCAACTGATGCAGGAAAGCAATTATTAAGAGCTGCAGTTTTTTCTGCAGGCACGGTGAATATCTTTGTTTCAATCCATTTGAGTAGTTCAGTTAAGGACTATTAAAGCTGAAAAATCAACATTAGAGAAGATAAAGTAAGATTGCCTATTTTCCTCTGTCAATCTACAGCTAAACCCCAGTGTGAGAGGCTAAGATCTGCTTTCTCTAAGATTGCCAAAGCCATGGCTACCAGAAACCTCCAATTTAATTCCCCTTCTAGGGGCCATTATTTCAGTTATTGAATAAAATATTTTTAAATGCAAAGATACTTTTGAAGTGCATCAAGCATTTTTAAGTTAGTTTTAATGAACAATTTTAAATGACCTCAAATAAATTTTAGTTGAATGTGTTTTCATAAAAAGAGAACTTGATGCAAATCATAAATAACTAAAAATGTCAAGTACTATTCACCATTTTGTAACAAGAGTGTAAGAAATTAATTTTTAATAAAATATTTTAAACCTAAACCAGATGTATTTGTGTATAGATATGATGTTAACTCTATAGATACATTAACTCTCAGTTGAAAAAGAAAAATGGGCAGATCTGTTAATACTGATCAGCTGATTTCTGTTCACCAAAAAAGAAAAATTAATTTCTCTTACAAAAGACAACTAAAATTTAAAAAGTGAAAAGAAGATCAAAATTACCAATATCAAATATTTATGCTTGTTCTTTTAAAGAATAGTTGAAATTAAGGATTTTCATTTTTCTGCGAAAATTAAGGACTTGCATCCAGCCACCGTTGACTCACCTGGAACATTTAATCAACAATTTTTAATATTAAAGACAATGATAAATAAGAACAATGCTTAGCACATTTTCTTCTTTCTTTCTTCATTTTTTTTAAATAGGAATTTATTACTCATATTTCCCATGGGGAAACCACACAGCCTTGAGATTTCCAAAAAAAGGTGTCTGTAATTACTTTTCTAAGCTTGTATTCATGCATCTGAATAAGTGAATTTATTGTGAATATGTTCTGAAGCTTCTAATAGGTCCTAACCATTAGGCCGATCAAAAATTTCTCAAGCACATTTATATTGTTGACAAACCGCTGACATGTCAAAATGTAAACTTTCAAGATAAATACATATGTTTTGCCAGCAATGGAAGCAGTGGGGGAAGGTTTTCAGGTCCAGTTTTGGAGTTCCGAGCCTCTGCCCAAGGCACAAGAACTTCTCGGAGGGCAGCCGAGAGGTCCCCTCGCCCCGGGCAGAGCCTGCGTGCGAGTTTGGCTCTGCTCGGTCATACGGGACCGTGTGTGGGGCTCGATGGCTTATTTTCTTTCCTCCAGAACGCTTCCCAGGGCTGTCTGTTTCACTCTGACCTGGAAGAGATGTGGAAAGTACAATTATTCTGTCTAGAATGGGTATTTTCCAGCTCGGGATTTTCAGAATGCTGTTTGATCAGCAGTTAAGTCACCATGTGTACCAAACCCAGATGTAACTCCACTAATCACTGCCCGATATCCAGCACACTTTCTTGCATAGCAGGTGATAAGGCAACATGTGAGCAGGAATTATATTTATTCTTGTAAGGATTTGAAATTTTTTTCATTCGAGAATCTCTCTGCAGTTGTGCAGTAAAGCCTTTTACATGTAATTTGCCTCTCCTGAATGCACGCGTTTAACTCTCCTGCTCTCTACTCATAATATCATAGGAGTGCAATATTATATATTTATGATCCTACGATGGCCTGATTTCGAAGCAGAGGGAAGCTGTGCGTGCTCGGTGCCTCCGAGAAATATACCAGGCGCTGTCAGGGAAGGGACCTTCCCTCGGCCACCCCCGTGTCCTCCTGCATCCCTCCAGGACCGGACCTCTGGAGTCCCCCCGGCGCTCTTCTCGCCCACCACCACCTACGCTGACGAAGGGACGGGCAGCGGCTCTCTTGGAGCCGGGGCGCTGCCCGGAGAACCCTCGCGGCATCCCCGGCGCCAAACTTCCCTCTGACCGCTGTGGGAAGGAGGGGGACCACCGGCGCCCTCCACCCCCCGAAAGGCCGGCGCGGAGTTCCTGCCTCCCGACCGCACACACACGCTCCCCAGGGATGCTGTGCCCCGGGCCGCGCAGCCCCTCGGCGGGGCCGGGGCACGCAGCCTCCCCTCCCGCCGGAGGCGGCCCCGCGCCGCCCCCGCTGACCCGGAGCTCCCGGAGAAGGAGACGATCGCTCGCACAAAATCCTGCGTCCTCAAGCCAGCCCCGGCGGACAGAGTACGTATTTGGGAAGCCCCCCCGCCCCGCTGTCCCCGCAGGGATTGGGATCGGGGCTGGGGTCCGGGCGGCTGCCCCGGGCGGGAGAATCGCGCGCAGGGCCCATTCCCGATGCGGGATCGGTGGAAGGCTGTGAGGTTCGACCGCCTCCCCCGGCTGGGGACCGAGGAGACGGGGGGGATGGGTCCGCCTGTGTTGCCGTGCTAAGGTCTGAAACCCCCCAGCCGCACCCCCCACCTACCCACCTACCCATCCCCAAGCGCGTCAGGGTTTTGCTTCTCCCAACCAAGCTTCCCCTTGGCTTCTCAAAAAAAAAAAAAAAAAAAAAAAAACCCCACCAAACACACACACACACACACACACACATACATACATATATATATATATATATATATGCATAATATCTATGCCCCAAAGCTAGAGAGAGTGAGGCGAGGCGGGCGGGGGGAGCGAGGGGGGGGAAGGGCTTTTCTGAGGATCGGGAGAGTGAGGCGGAGGGAGAGGCGCCGGGAGCCTCGCAGCATCCCGTGCCCCGGCCCCGCGGCGCTGCTGCCGCCGGCCCCGCGGAGAGGGCTGCGGAGCAAGGTAAGGGCTGGCACCGCGCTCCGGGACCCTGGCCTGCCACTCGGGGGCTGTTTTTCCCGGCCGTGCGAGCGCTCGCTGGCGAGGGCAGAGCGGCCGCTGCCCCGCCGTGCCCCGCCGCCGCCCAGCCGCGAAGTTACTTTGTTCGCAGAGTTGCCGCGGAGGCTGGGCTGGGACCCCCGGGCGCCCCGGCCGCTTGTCCCTCGCATCCCCCACGTCGTGCTCAGCGTCACCAGCCAACACCGCGAAGGAAAAGCCGTGCGCGCCTTCCCCGATAGTTTCCCCTCGCACAGCCGAGGGAAGGGGTGATGGAAGAGGAAGAACTTCCCTTTGTCGTAGGAGAGGATTGAGTGACCTCCGAAGTTTTGTTCCGGGAGGAAACCGCTTGAAGAAGTTTGGTAGGATTCATGCCGATTTGCATGTGATTTATTGCGCTGTTATTTGGTGTCCAGCACGCTTAAAGCAGTATAGCAGACCAAAATTTAAAAAGAGGTAAAAAGATTGAGGACATTTAAATAGAGATTTCAGTTCTTTTCATTGCTTTCTTAGGATTAACGTTTTCTATCTCTCACTTTCAGATGGGTAGTGTAGAATACATTTATAAATGGGTGTGCTTGTCCGTGGATAACACTGAGGGTACAGATGGGAAACGTGAAGAAACTGGGCAGATTTTAAACGCTCCATTCTCTTTGGCGGAAGATCAATAGTTGAAGAGTCCTGCTTGGACAGTCTGTACCTTAACAATATTATCATTGAGACATCTGCTGATAATGTATGGTATTGATAGCCATTGCAACTTCAGTTTCATGAATTTTGCAGTTGATTTAGACTAGTATAAGGAGCTCTGGATATTCTGGATTGTTAAATTGATAACTAGGCATGATTATTAAACTTTGCGATTAGCTTGTGATGAACTCTCAGTTTTTCTAAGGTAGATATTTAAAATGCAAGGCTACATTGTAAAAGTGTATATCTGAAATCTGACTACCAAAAAATCATGCATCTTTGCAGAAGACCTGTTATGGAGTCATTGAAAAATGGCAATCTGTGTTGCACCTATATGTAATGAACAGTTTTGTGATGCCAGACACTGTAAATTCTCTGGTATTGTACTACAAAGATTGGGGGGAGACTGATTTCTATTTGCATATAGATTTTTTTGAAATTATTAAATGTAGTAGTTTTCTCTTGTATGATACATATGTGAACTGATTAATATTAGTTACTGCCCAGAAAATTTCAATGGTATATTTAAACAGTTTTAGCTTGGCTCTCAGGGTTTGTTTCATTGTCTCAAGCTATCCGAGACATAACAAATCTTTAAAATTTCTTGCTTGTACATTATTCCGTCTATCTCCTTTCTTCTCTTCCTGGTCTCCTGTGGTATAAGTCAAAGCAGGGTAACTGCAGAGAATACCTGTATATGTTCGTGTGAAGTAAAATGCCCATTTTAAAGATACACAAATGTTCTTGGTGGACAGGAGCCATCCCCTCATGCCCTATATGAAAACCTTCTGGGCTGCTGTTAACAAGAGACCTGCTTTGGTGTTATTTTGTGGTGCCAAACAACAAACATTAGAGAATGCAAAGATAAAGCTGGTGCTCTGATCTTTGTTTAAACAGGTCATGGTTTTTATTTAATGCTGTATGCACATTATGGGAACTGTCAGCGGGAATGTAAAGCAGACTGGAATTCTGATCTAGCATACATTCATAGATGACTCTAATGTTTCTTCTTCACTTAATGGTTCATAGAATGTAGCGTAGTTTGTGATCATATTTATTTAATTGAATGTACTATATGAAATCAGAAAAAACCCTCTAGATTAATGTCCTATTAGGAACCAAACACGTTCAGATCTACTGCCTCAGGTGCAGTCCTCTTGACCTGAAGAATTACACAGAAGTGGACTTTTCTAATTAGTAAAACAAGTAAAAGTGTATCAAGAGATCATTGGTTTTTAAGTCAGCTTGAGTTCTGCAACTGAATTACAAGGAAGGACACTCAAATCCCCTGAAAACAGGTGACTGCTTAGTCAATTACCCAGTCAGTTTCTTTTTTTTTCCAGACATATGGAAACAATATCGAATAGTAATTAGAAAGTGCATTCATAATTGAGAATTTTAAAGCTTTTCGTCTATGAGAACAGTTTTCATCTCAGCTGGTTAATAAACATAATAAAAATAATTCAGTGCAGTCCATTTGATCCTTGCTGAATCTTGTTGTTAAGAATTCATACGGGATGTACAAGGTAAGCTGAAGGAAGAGCCTTTTCACATGTTCAGTTACATGAAGGAATATTAGAATATTGCAACATACAGTATGAGCTTTCAAAATAAGACTCAGTGTAGCACTAGGAACTTAAATTTGGGTGTTCTGGATCATAGATTGGTTTGGGTTCTGTGATCATTTTCCATAGTCAATTTCATCTGTCTGAGAGAAAAGTTTCTAATTATTATTTCTAACTTAAAACCTTCATTTTAAATCCTTGCTATTCTAGGTTATGTCTCAAAATATAAACAAAGTTGGTAATGTAAGAGAGTTCTTTAAGGTCGCTGGATTGTTATCCTTTAACTCCCTATTAGAAAAACATCTTTTCAGTCAATGTAATTACAAATAAAATAGCATGAGAATGTGATGCTCAGGCAAGGTTGAAGAGTGACACTCCGTGATAAGATCCATTGCAAAAAGTGGTAGAGCTGCTGCAGTACTGGCTGTTCCTCTGCTTCTGCAGTAACCACCTCTGGAGGTAAAGCAGTTAATTCCTGGGCACTGCTCACTGCTTGACCTCATTGAAACTGTCAACAAGTATGGCAGTTTTGCCATGCTTTGACAAGGCAGTGGGAATTGTATTAGGATCAACAATTAGCTGTCATGGTATATATGAGGCAACTTGCAGTCATAACTGATTTGAGATTCATTGTAGTAACCTAAACACAAAATGCTTAGCATCTTCCATTCAGTCACAATTTAAAATGCTATGATTTACTACGGGAGTAGAGGTTGAGTTCATAATATCATTTAAATGTGCTGTATTCTGTGTCAGACTAATATCAGTGTAGTAAGGGCTTGTCTTTACTGATTGAGAGGCGCAATGCAGAAATATATTTCAACTGCAAGCATTAGCCCTCACTTTTTACTTATATCTAATTTGTACATTTCTGCTAAAACCAAGAGTGTATCACTTTTCTTTGCAAGCTTACTTTTTATGTGGTGTGTCCTCTTCACCTTTTAAATTGAATTCCTCTGCCATGCAGTCAGCCCAGCTTCACTTACGGCATCTAGGGTCTTGTCACTGAACCAAAGACTGAAGCCAGCAGAGCAGCTGCACAAGTGGCATATGAAGGAGGCTGATGGCGTCTGATATTTTTGATTGTTTTTTCCATGTTTTCCTAATTGGCTGTTTTGCACAAGCCTCCTTTTTTGCCTGCTCTTGGAATTGCATCACTGTGCTTGATGTGCTGTGGAACTCCAGCACCCTGCACGCCACTTGATTCCTTATCATCTTTTCCCTCCTATCACTGACTCTTACCAAATCCCATCTTCTTCCATTTCTGTCTTTTGTGATGCTAGTCTTGCATTATTTTTTCCTAAAAGAAAATGGAAGGAACACAGTGTGCTGCCATTGCACCCATAATTCCTGTGCTATGCTTTCCTCCCATGTCCTTTGTTGAGTTTCTGGAGGCTGTAATCTGGGGCAGAGACTGTTTTACTGTAGGGCTGTACAATGTCCAGCATCATATGCTGCTGGATTTCAGCTGGTCTATGGACACTCATAATATATTCATAAAATGATTATTTTGGCTTTGTGGCACAGCCTGTCTTCTGGTTCTTTGGTAGAAAAGCAAAACATTTCTACTTGGAGGTTTTCGATACTGTATTGCTGTTCTGAGTTTTGTCCCTCAACATTGTGTCCCTAATTTGAGAGGATTTTGGTAAAAGTTCAAGATACCTTGCGTAATGTAGTGGGGATGGGGTAGATTAGAGCTTAGCTACTGACAGAGGTTAGCTGGTTTGTACCTTCAACAAGAATGACAATAAATGTCAATTTCAACACATATTAGTGGAAACCTCAGGTTTGTCAACATCAAAAAAAATGTTCAGATTTCACCATGTTGATAAAATGAAAAAGAAGGGAAAAGAAAAAAAAATGTACAGTGTGTTCATTTCAGAACTCGGTTATTTTCCTCCCAGATATTTTGATCCCCATTTACTTTCCATCCCTAAACTGTGTAATTTTATTTTAGCATTTTTTTGGTGTCCCATGAAAATCTTTTCACCAGTGCAACTAAAATTTTTCAAGTGAGTATTTAAAGCAGCCAGTAAATCAGCTGATGGACTGTGCACAGTTCAGGGGCAGCCTTTCTTTATCTCATGTGGACCACGTAGGGGGCTCTTTGTGGACATGACTTCAGGGTAGGAGCAGTGGTTTTTGATTGTTCTTTCCTTACATCAGTCCTGGAGGGAATACCTGGAAAAATAAAGGTAACAAACCCAGTGACTCCCTCCCTAGACATGAATCAGATGACATGAAGAGTTTCAATGGGATAAATGCAGCTAAATGAGGGAGAAGTGGAAACACCAGAAGTAATATGACAGCATAGTAAATTTTGAAAGTTCTGTGTGTAAGAGAAAAAAATGTAGCTGTGAAGAATTTGCTTGTTTGATTTTATAATTTATCTCCAGCCTTAGTAGAAAAAGAGACACTGATGTCAGAAGTAGTATCGCTATAAATATATTTACATATGAGCTGTGTTCTACATCTCACCTTTGACATATGTGGTGGTACTTTGGCATTTCATTCATCTTGAACTACAGGGATGCATAGGCCACTTCTCTTTTGTGCTCTTGTCCTTTCAAGAGTTGTTAGCATCAGATTTCTTTCTGAAATCAGATGAGAATATTGGCAGTAAAAATTAATCCACAGCCAAGCAGTGCTGCTGCACGAAAAGAGAAGACCCTGTCAATTTATTACACACAAATTTCACTGAAATAAATTCAGATAAAGTGAGTGTCACAAGCAAGTGGCTTTCACCCAGCAGGGCTTGTGCTAGGCTAGGAAATGAAGATGTGGCCAGTTGTCACAAAAGAGTAAAGAAAAGAACATTCTTTTAAAATTCATTTCAATTTAAAATTTAATTAAATTCAATTTAAAATTAAACCAAACTGTATCTTAAATATGTTTCAGCACTTACATGGTCTTCTTCTCCGTAAATAATATTTTGAAATATTCAGGAGTTCAACCAGATGACATGCCCAAATTGCAAACTGAAATGTAGAATCAAACCCTCACAACCCTAATTTATTTCTGTTGGAATGTCCATTTTTTGTAATTTCCCCACATAACTTGTATTTTTGGCTATTTTCCTTTTGAATGAGTATTCTCATTTGGGGACTTCTAATTTTTCCTGAATGAATATATGCACATGGTTTACAGTAACATAGCAGCTTATGTATTACTGCCAGAGACTGAGGCAAACGTGAGAAATTATTTTTGCGGCTCTTAGATATTTATTTAAAATTTCCTTCCTTAGAGCTAATTACTTACATAGATTATCTTCCTCTGCAGGTATTTTTAGATAACTAAAGGTAATATTGAGCAAAATAGTATATTTTTCAGGAAAAACATTTGCTTTTACTTAAAAAGGTACCCATTTAAATATTTCATTGAAATATTACAATGTTTTTATACATTCAGGCACTGTCGTATGTAGGATTACAATAATGTGTTTAGCCTTGACAAATATTCAGTATATTTGTGAATTTTAGACCAGTCCAGTATCTAAAATATACTGGATATATGATGAAGCAGAATTTTAAGGTGGAAACAAAGCAATATTATTAGGTTTTGTTGATTTTTCAAATTGAATAAATGAACAGTTTATTTGTACAGATGAGAAATTGATTCAGAAAATAATACTGCTAATGAGCGAAAATAAAACTAAATTTTCATAAATGGAATATTCACTTATTGTATAGTTTTGGGAACTAAGTAGGGAAATAAGAAAAAGTAATTAAAAATCATAGGATCATTCAAAATAAGACTGGCAAAGAAGGTTTCTAAGTGGTAACTGCTTTAAATAAATAGAGAATTGGATTTCTTAGGTAAATGTCCCATTTTTTTGTTTTCTGAACTCTGTCTGTATCCTTTCCTGGGTGCCTTGTCAGAACTTTGGCGTGCTGTATATTTTTGGATGAAACTTCATAGAAGTGGATGTTACCACATAGTTCCAAAACCCAAATAATTTATCTCATTTCATACTTGCTGTGTCCATATAATCTTTCTATTACAGTTAAAGCTCACTAGTATGTTCATGCTCTTTATAAAGAAAATAATGAGAGAAATATGCAATATTTATGTTTGAGAGCAAAAGAAGTAACTCATTTGAAGAAAAAAATTCAGTAAAGAGTTTTCTCATACTGTATGTATGCAGGTCATTATAACCTGCAAAGCAGAGCAGTGATGTGTGTTTTAGAATGGTTAGAAACAACTTGCTTTTTTTTGTTGCCTTTTTTTTTCATAATGCAGGTTAAGGTGATTGGAATTATAGAGAAATAAGAGGTTTTATTTTAGTCACTGGGGTTTTTTTCCATGTAGAAGCCAGATTGCTCAGTGCCCCACAGATCTGCAGTTAACAAATATGTGAGATATATGATGAGGCACTGAAGTATTCACTGATATGTGAAATATGAGATTCTAAATAGAAGAGGACAAAAAGAGTAGGGTTTTGAGGCTTACAGGTAATTCAGAATTACATTCCCTGGTTTTGCTTATATTGGTGGAAATAGCTGTGACTTCCAGGGAAGAGATAGTCACAGAACTGAGTATTATTTGACTGATAACAGTTACCAAATTTACATTTGCTGGCACAGAAAACAACCTCAGATGTTTTCTAAAAAGGCCTAGAAGTGCATTTAGTTTTGTTTATTTTTTAAAATGCAATGGGAAACGTATCTCCAACAAATCCTATTAATTTAGGAAGCCTAATCATTCTGTCAGTAGAAGTGTGCATGATCAAACTTAAAATCCTCAAGTGTCTCCATGACATTTGACTATGCTTCCTTCCCTTTAAAGTCTTCATTTGTCAGGTGAGCACACCAGGCTGCCAAGGGGAGGGCTCAGTGGTTTTGCTTTCCCAGGACCTGCATTCTGTTTCAGAAGATGAGAGAAGGAAGAGGAGAGTGTATCTCTCTGGAAAAATTTTAACAGCAGTGTGATTGTCCTGGCTCATCCTTTCCCACAGAAGAATGCCTTTTTAGGATTATTTCAATATTCATTTTCTGGTGGCAGAACTGAAGATAGCAGTCTGATTCCATTAATTTGCCTCTATCTGAACTGTGTGAAATGGGTATTTTAGTAAAAACCCTTAGTAGTTTCAGCCTATTTCTCAGAGTAAGTGGTTGCTTTTCTAGTCTCAGTATGTTCATTTACTGGTGGTCAGTTTGTAACAAGCATTTTTCAGGAGGCTAAAGCAAAAGCAGGAATTTGTGATGGTGAAGATGGTGGTTGCAAAAATTTTACTGTGACAATTGTAGTGATTTTGGGGGTTTAAATAAAGGATCTACTTCCCCATGTAAGGGATGATCTGACAGTTTATGAGGGGCACTGTAGTATAGGGAAGACGTGGGCCCTTGTAAAAGATCTTAAAAGAGTTTCTGGTTAGCAGTGTCCAAGATTTGCATGAGAAGAAAGTGTGTCACCATGTAGTCTATCACAAACTCTCATACTCCTCTTTAAGGTGCTTTACTGCTCTTGTCTTGCTGGTTTTCTCTGAAAAAGATACAGCTTTGATGTTTTATAGCCACATAGAAATGCCTCTTTTTTATTTTCCCTTTTTTTTTGATACTATATTTTGTTCTTTCCTTGCCTCCCCAAACATCAGCTTGTCAGGCTGGCTGAGCAAAATGAACGTGTTTTCTGTAGCTGCCTCTTTGCCCCTGACCTTCGTACTGCCTAGAGTCCCAGCATTCTTTCTTTCTTTGTCTCACCGGTGGTGGAAAATTTGGCAACTACCCCTGTTCAGCTTCTTGCTGTGATGTGCTACAGTCACATTGTGCTTCTTGACCTTCAGATGTTTGCAACTTAGCAAAGTTCATTCCTCAACAGAGAACACATTTATAGTTTTCTCCCAATTACTGACTTTTAAAAATTATTATTTAAATTATCATAATATTTTATCTTGGTCACTAATTATTATTTCAGTGACATCTTCTTGAGCCATGTAGCTTCAAATCTGGATTCATATTGTGTTCTGCAGGAATTATTTTCAAGAAGCATCAGTGGTGTTTTTAGACTTGAGACAAAGAGGTGATGGATGATGGAGAGGACAGCAGGGCAGTGGAGTGAGATACGGGGAGAGACGGTGGTCATGAGAGTGAACCTAGAATAAAGCAAAATCTGTGAGTGGAGAAATGAGATCAAAATAAAACATTGGCTTGAAATGAAAAAAAAAAAGCTGTATAAAAAGGCTGGGAAGTTCATATAGATGGGGCAATATTTATGCTGGTGAGATACAACACCAGAAATTTCAGGCTGAAAAAGTAAAAAAAAAAAAAAAACCAAAAACTTAATACAGAGATTTATTTGAGGACTTCATAAAGTACTTAAATATATCTGGGTATTCCTACCTGCTAGTCCAGTAATTCTTCAGGAGCGGTCTTTCAATCCTCACAGTTTATGGCCTGATGTGAAGCCTTCCGAAGGCTGAAGCAGTGTCCATTGCACACAGTCAACTTTGGGGCCCATTTGAACACATGCTGGAGGAAGCAGCAGGAAATTAATGTACAGAGAACATTCCTGCCTTCTGTAAGAAGATGGCTTAGCTGATTTAATAGCTTTTTCTCAGTCTGTGATTCCAACAGCCAGGTTTGTGATATTTATTTTAGTATTCATGTTCTTGCAGTCCTTTTTACATTTCTCTGTTTTTCCCTGGCAGACATCCCGCAGCTCCATAAGTCTGGGGGAAGAGGATGGTTAGCATGTTGTTGCTGTGGGGATTTGAGTCTTAACTCTCTGTGTTGTTAATGCTGAGCGTATAATTTTTAAACTTGCATGCTGCAGAAGCAGATAATTATTTCCCTGCTGCATTTTATCCTGTGGTTTCAGAAAGCAATACGTTTCAGAATATTAAAAGAAAGGAAAAGTTACAATTTGGGGGACTATTGGAAATGGAAACAGAAAGAGGGGAGTAATGGGTGTCAGTCTGGTTATCAGTCAAGCTGGAAAGAGACAGCTTGTTCTATTGAACACCAAGAATGTCAGTAGTCAGCCAGTCACTTACTCAGGAAGAAAACCATAGACTGAAAGGTAAGGTTCAAAGACATCTGCGTATGTTTCTGAAATGAGCTTGAAATCAGCTTGATATTAAATTATGCTTACTGATCCTGTGTGTTACATAGATGATTTCTGTTTAACACAGGGCATTTCTTTGACTGCTGTTCTGAGTGACTGTGACTGAGCAGAAGGCTCAATGTGCTGTTGCATTTTTTTTCCCTTCCTTTTTTTTTTTTCCCTTGCATCAAATGAAATAGGTTGTCTTCCCATTTTTCACCTGTATACAGGGTGAACTTTTTGCTGGGTGTTTGCTGCCATTCTCTCAGGCTGGTCAAATGGTGTGGTTCACTCACTTTCCCATGTGTAAGGATGGATTCCCTGCTTAAAAGAGCTCTTCAGCACTAAAGGGTGTGTTGAGTGGTGTACTGGATGTGTTTCTGTTTCCAAACAAATTTGTCTTTTGATTTAGATTGTGGCAGTAGGCACTATTCCACTAACCCAGAAAGAGGAATGGAGCCAAAGGGTGGATATTGGGGTACATGCATATTTATCTGCTGTTTCTACAGCAGATTTGACATCTGACTTGTGACAGATGTAAAGTTGTAAAGGACAGAACCCAAAGAGGAGACTGACAGAGGCTGTTTCCTCAGCGTCTGTGAGCTCCTGAGAGCTTCCCAAGGCTAAAGGGAGATTCTAGGCCCCTAAGGCAGTGCCTTAACTCATTTGAAACCCTGGTTCAGTTGTGTGTAAAGTTGGCACAATCCCCGAATTGTAAAAAAAAGGCTGTGTTTTTCAGGTAGTTTGAAATCCTTATGTGGAGGTGTGGAATCATAAATTATTTATCTTACTGGAGAATATTTCTAGAGGTCACCAGTTCTAATAGTTTATCTCAAACAGAAGTAGGTTCACTTAGAACAGTTTGCCCCCTATAAAATCTCTGACCTTGACTATTCAGACTTCTTTACAAATGCATCATTTAATACGGGAAGCTCCTTAGGGAAGGTTCTTCACATCTGCTGTCATAATTTCTTATTTCCTAAATGCAGCAATTTATACTTGATTATTCTTAAAAGGATCGTGCCTCCCTTCCCTCTGCCTGCTCTGGCACAATCCTTTGTGCTGCTGCTTCTTCTGTAGCCTGAACACGGCATCTGAGAGTGTTTGAAATCCCAAATTTTCTTTGTTGTTATTCTAGCATTTCCTTACCACTCGGTTCTAGGGGAGGGCATGTAGGAATCTGCTCCTTTATTCTGAGGCTATTTTGCTGTGGCTTGTTAGTGGCAGCAAGTTGTCATCATTTTACAGCCATTCAGCCAGTAACAAAAACCAATGAATCTTTCATTTCGGCTTCCTGAGAACAAGATTCCCCAAAACAAAAATACTCTGCCACTTCTTGGAGCAACTAACATCTGCGGTAGTTAAGCAGAGGGCTGCAGCCCAGATTTTTAAAGATGCTGAAGTGCTTTACTGCCACTAAACTGAATTGGACCTAAGTACTTGTAAATACCTTTAAAAATCTGAGTGACTGTGAAGACCTCCTTCATCCATCACTCTCAGCAGTGGTCCCTTCAGAATGGCAGAAAAGCACATCAGCATGGTCACAGAAAATACTCCTAGTCGTGCTCTCCAAACTCTCCATATGAAGCGAATTGCTGCATTCTAGTGTGGTTTTTCATTAAATACGTCTTTGAATCAGATTTCTTATATTCCCTAGAAGAAAAGAGCCCCTGCTTGCATGAAAGTCAATATTTAAGTCAGACAACTTTTTAAAAGCATGCAAAGTTATACTGTAAAAATACCCACCTTTATAGCTTATAATCCATTTTTTATTAAAACTGGGAAATAAGAGTGAAATTCACATTTAAATTACTTTCTGCTGTTTCTAGGGGATACTCTTTGCATTCCAGTTGGTTTCATGTTGTTCTTCCCCTACCCATTTTCGGTACTGCTGTTCTAGACTTGCTTAACCTTTGGGGAAAAAATCATTCCCAAACATAAAACCTGTATGGATTTTACATTTTTAAAATATTTAGTAACATTTAACTTTGTCCTAGCCCTGGATCACTCTGTTTTCCTGTGAATCCAGAATGCTGGGCTAGTACTGAATGAAAATTGTTTGAAGAGGGAAGTCCTTCATATTTACGTCCTTCACTCAAGGAGTTGTGTGCTCCTCAAGGAGTTCCTTCAGTGTTGCTATAAAACCAGGATCAAGTGCATGGAAAGCCATTCACTCTTCTGTTGATGTAAAGAACAGGCACTTGCATTGCTTCTCTCTAATGTCACAGAGTTTGGGAAAATTTAGTTAAACTAGTTCTTGTACAATTTACTTGCATTTGAGTTGTGCATAGTCATGTATTCCATTTCAGGTTTGGTGAGGACTTTCTGAGGGAGGATGGGGAATAAAACTTCATCAGTTCAATGAAAAAAAAAGAAAGTAAACAATTGTGTTGGAAAAATATTGTGATTTGATGTGGCTTTCTGAGTAATGGTCTTATCTTTTGGGTTTGGATTGAAAGTCGGAAATACTTGAGCTATGTTGTGTAGCAAGTTTACTTTCACTCCGTGCTTCCCACCCCTAATTAAAACATGTTCACCAGGTTGCTGAGCTAGAAAAGTTTGCATACTTTGAGCAGTCTGTCTTCGTCCCTCCGCCTTCACCTCCCGTTACATAAAGCAAATTGTGAGCAGAGGAAGTGTCCAACAGTTACACTGCGTGTCTCCCCTGTGCCGCAGGTGTTTGGAAGGGGAGTGTGCTGGCCGGGCCGGGGGCTGTCTTGGTGCTGGCCCTCGCAGCAGGGAGATAGCAGAGATGGTGGCCTGAGGGCACCAGCCCCGCGTGCAGACATGGCCTTCGCCCAGTCCCACATCATGGCAGCCAGGAGGCACCAGCACAGCCGGCTCATCATCGAGGTGGATGAGTACAGCTCCAACCCCACACAGGCTTTCACGTTCTACAACATTAACCAGGGACGATTCCAGCCCCCACATGTGCAAATGTAAGTATTATAGTGTTGTTATTGCTCCAGCACAGCCTTTGGAATGGTTATTGCCTTGTCGATGTGATATTCGATGGACCAGTCACAAAGAATTCAAGGAATGCTGTTTTGCTGCCTTTCTAATAATATTTACTGTAATGATAAGAAATCAGTCCATTTGAAAAGTACTTTGTTAAAAGATGGGAGAAAGATTCCCTCACCGGTGTTAGTGTAATACATAGTACTTAGATATTAAAAAGAGAAATAAAAAACAAGTAGTGGCAATAAAACACAAGATACTACAAGGATGATACTTTCTGCAGTCTTAATAACTAAGGTTTGCTTGCTTTGTGGTATTGATGTACATGGCTGCTGAAAATACCAAGCCTGGATCTGTATAGCACACATTCTGTTTGGTTAGTTATATTACAGCTGCATACAAGGGAAAAATCATATAAATCCATAAAGTACTGTGAGCACCCATCTGAAAACTTACTTTCCAAAAGTGCCAAGTGCTTAAAGAGTAATTAAAATAATGTGTTTGTTTCTGACTCCTTATATAATGACAACATCAGTAAAATTAACTGCTCTGGATGATTTACTTGTAACATAAAGTGGAGAATTATAATTACGAAATGAAACCTGCCATAAAGTTTAAAGCCAGAAAGAAGAGCAAAACACTAAAGCTATTACAAATAAATTAAGTATAAAATTCTACTGTAAAATATTTTTATAGAGAATGAAAATGTCTGCACCATTTTATTGTGTATATTAAAGAGAGAAGCAGCCTTATCTTTAGATCAGATGGCTGGTTTTCATTTTTTAAAGAGAACCCTTTTCCTTTAGGAAGAGTGAACAAATGGTCACCTAATTTATATTTTTGGTATTTAATATTAATTTAATATGATTTGATAACTTAAAAACATAGGTCACGATTTCTGTGGTTAAAAAACTCAGCACTTGTGACTGGTTGAATGCTGTGTGTCTATTTAGCAAATGCTTCTTTGGCATAAATTAGATTATATAAAAAAAATCTGATGACTAACATGTATATCAAGATGGTGAGCAAACACTTGGTTTTTGGGGGCAGTATATTATGGTCTGTGTTGGGGTTTTTTAGATCCTACTGAAATGCAAACAGTAAAATGAGTTGAGTGTTAGCCCTGGGAAACATCTTTTGTTTATAGAGCTGGCAAATGGTAGAAAAAGTACAAACAAACAAATGTGGGTTCTGAAATACTTTTACAAATGAAAATGCCAAATGCAGGTTGCCTGATTTGTTGAGGCTTAGCTATCCTTTGTGAATATTCAGACAGCTCCTGGGCACTCAGAAATTTGTTTCCTGATCTTAAAAGCTAAATTTTTTTTACTGGGCTGAAAATAAGTTCTTTATTAGTATTCTCTTGGTTCTCAACCATATGCTGCTTAAACTTCTAAGCAGTAAGAAATTGTGGTACTGGAGGCTTAGGCAGTCAACTACAAGATTGAAACCCAGCACTCAAGCAAGGAGTTGAAAATAAGATATCATTAGAAAATAGTTCCTCAGAAGAGTTTAGCAATCCTTCATGAATGATTAATACTATTCAAGAAGCTTGTGCAAATAGAAAAACAGGACAAATCAATTGAAACATCTACCACAATCTGACCAACTCTTTCTCTTTCTCTTTGTACAGAAATAGTAAATAATGTTTCTGAATACCAGGAGGATTGCTTTTTCTTCCTACCAGTGAACAGAATAGTAACAAAGAAGGGAAAAGTAGACATAAAAAGGGTGACAAAAGCACCTTTTATTCACATGATTGTTGTGGGTGAAATCCTAGCCCTGCTTCTGTGCATGCAAGTTTTGTCGTTAACTTCAGGGAGGTGAAGGCTTTGTGCATGGTTCAAAATACCTCCATTAGTGATGTTGCAGGCAATCATCAACATTTCACACAGACCTGTTAACATCTGAGCTCCCAGTAAATTACTTTAACCATGAGAAAGGGGGTGGGGGGCCATTTTATGCTCCTTTTTTCTGGATTCAGTTTTGCAGCTATTCCTTGCTCCGCTGTGCAGGTTTGGATTTCTTATTTGATGTTTTAGCTCCCAGAACATGCTGACAACCCTTTCTAGACCTGTCATAGTCTGGCATCCCTGTGCTTGTAAGATGACTGGGTTGCCTCTGACAAGGAGGATGGTAAATTCTGCCAGTGTTTTCAAGTCCATCAGTCATTTCTGGAGAGTGCCTGTCTCACTCCTTCCTGAAGTACTGAAATCTAGTGTATAAACTAACCTCTAAAAGTGTTTTTGTTCTGAGATGTTCCAACTTTTCTTTTTAGTTTTTCTGCAAGTTTTCCTACTGATCTAAAGAAAAACAAAAGCATTTGCACAAAAATAATCAGCAGATCTGTATTCCTCTGCTCATACTGCAAGCTGTGCATTGGGTGTTGGTGTGACAGCTGCTGTGGGAAGGCGTTACACAAGAATATGGGGATTGAGCCTTCAGAAATTATTTCCAGTAATACAACTTAGATGAGTTTGTGAAACTTGACATATGCTTTTACCTATATATGGTCTCAGTGCGTGCATATCACTTCAACATGAGAAATCTGCATCTCATTTATTTTGGTGGGTTTTTTTGTATTGATGCCTTTTCCCAAGAAAATTCTCTGGCCTATTGCAGAGAATTTAAAAGTTACACATACCTCAGCAACCAGGAAAATGCTGTCCATACCTTCCCCATCCCAATCCAAAGCATGTGCATTATGTGTTACATGGGGTTGCCATGGTAAGTCTGCTGTTTTTTGCACACAGCTTCCTATGTGAAACATATACTGCTCCCTAACACCCAGCTCACTGCTGTGCTGAGCTTTAAAAGATTTCTGAAGGAGAAGCTGTACCTGCTTTAAGGCTACCCTACCATGAAAAGTCAAAGAGTGGTGTTTTAGACCAGTCCATATCCTTATGTTTGCCAATGCAGTATTCATGATTTAAAGCTGGCTCAGTAATGCCATCTGTAACTCACTTTGGGAAGTGTTGGGCAGGGAGAGCAATAATTCAATTTACTGGACTGATGTTTAATCCTTTTAGCTTGAACAGCTACAGTGATAGCCAAGATCAGTCCCTCATCATTTTTATCCAACCATCTTGGTTCATTTTGTGAACTGACTGTATCATCCTTCACAAAGCTCCCATCTGAGGGCAAATCCTCACCTCCCAGTCTGAGCCCCACCATTCACCACCCACATTACTCTGCTCTCCTGCTGCCTCCCCTGGAGCTTGCCCTGTGCAGCTTTCTCCTCCTCCAAAATGGAGGCATTTTTAACATCTCAACTCGGAAAAGAGTTGCCCTTCCCCTCCTACCCTACATAGGGTGTGACCAGCTGCTTGGAGTCCAAGCACTGCACTTTTTGCCTCCCAAATTTTGGAGTTCCTACTACATCGCTGCTTACATATGCCCCTGGCATGTAGTTTATTGGGTAGGATTTAATCACAGCTGGCTTTACCCCTCAGCTCATATTTAGCTACTTTCTCCTCAAAACCTGGAACTTCAGAAAGACAACCCTGAGGTGTTTGTATGAAAAGGCTGCTCCTCCAGTTTTGCTGCAAAAACACCAATATTTCTTCTTCCTATGTGGCAAAGATGGGTACAAAATAATTGGTTCATACTCTGGTTTTGTAGTTACATTGTAGAAAATGCTAAGACCTTTTTCTGTATTTAACAAGATTTCAATGTTTTAGATTTGTTCCTCACTCACCCTCTCACTAATCCTGTGAAGTTGTCAAAACCACCTCAGTTTATCTGCCTATAAATTTCATAGAATTTTTTGACACAGAGAAAAGGTTCAGTGATTAAATATTATCTTACACCTTTTAAGCAATAAAATGCTTTTTGAAAATTTACCTAGTAAACAGAAGTAGTGTTATTAAATGCAAAGATCTCTATTATTTTTTCCCCTTTGTTTATGTAAAAGTAAGCTCCTGAATCAAGGCACAACCAGCAAGAGATAGAAATATGTACTGTATACTGCAACAGTGAGCAAAACTAATTTTATTTGCCCTTTCAGAAGAAATGTTGTAAAGGTAAAATAGTTCATAACAATTCTGTATATCTCTCTGGTTTCTAGTGACATTAATATAACTCTTGCATCTCCTGCTTTTTGATTTTTTTCCACCAGAATTCCCTAACTGGAGTATAGCTCCATATACAGTATAGCTGCATATGGATAGATTTGCTTCTATGTATTCGAACAAAATATGGATTGAGGTTAAAAAGATTGATTTGAAAACAAGTATTCCTTCTATGGCAGAGGGGTATCATCTGATTTCCTCTTGTAAAATATAAGTGAGTTTCATCAAACTGGGTCAGATCTTTTAGTTTCTTCAGTTTTGAATGTAGAGATTGGGTTCTGAACAATGCAGCCTCACCCCTCACAGCATCTGATTTCATTTAGTGTAATTAAGCCCAGAAAGTCGTCACTTTGTCCTGACAATAGTCAGGCTTTAATGTACATTTACAGCTGTTAGGAGAGTTTTTATGTTGCTCTGCATTAACACACTGAAATATATCTCCAAAATGTGTTAATGAAATTTGCTTAAATTGAGTAACTTGCAGAAAAGAAGTTATAATTAGGAAAAAAAAAATCTAAATGTATTTATGTATCTAAAATAAATATTTTCCTTGTGTACAGTGTAATCGTATTTGAACACTGAAATGGGATAGTACTTTTCCTTTGAAAATAGCAATACCTTTGATTTATTTGTAAGTATTTGTGTCAGAGTTACTGCCATAGTCCAGTCTCTTTTCCTTAATTTCTTTAAATTAATCTATCTACCCAGCAAAAATACTGCAAATGTTGTGATGTGAACATCAAGAATTTTTACACCTCCCATTAGTGTTAGGTTTGTTTTAATAAATCCTTCCATCAGGCAGATTTAGTAGTCTGTGTACTCTTTTGTAAAGGTAAAAAAGTAGTGTCAGAATTGCAAAGCAGACACTAAGGAGTACGTAAATACTTTATAACCTTGTTATGATGCATTTCCTACAGGGTTGATCCGGTGCCCCATGACGCTCCGAAGCCTCCAGGATATACACGATTTGTCTGTATTTCTGATACTCACTCAAGAACTGATCCCATCCAAATGCCATATGGAGATGTGTTAATACATGCTGGTGATTTTACTGAGCTGGGACTTCCTAGTGAAGTAAAAAAATTCAACGAGTGGCTAGGTAGGTACTGAATTCTGTGTGGATTCGACAGTAAATTTGTTTACTGGTTGTATCTGCCCCTTCTGCCTCCCAGTTAAAAACCATCACGCACTCAGAAGTCATGAATATTAATTTGACTTAAATTTGAATGGCAGTGAGCAGGAATCAGTTTTTTTTCCTTTAGATTCGACAAATATTTTTGCATTTTTCCAACTGAGCAAATAGGATTTGTGAGACTATTCATCTGTTCTGCCTTCACACTCTCAAGTGTACATTAAGCAACTTCTTGGTGTTAGCAACAATTGAAGTCAGGAGGCCTTTAATGATTTACATAAAACCTCTTACATACATTGTTACAGCTTTGCTGCCTCCCCTAAAAAGTTGTTGTGACTGAAAACATTTTTCTGTTTAACCCCAGAGGGCTCATACGTTTGGAGGTTTTTTTTTATATCTGAGGCTCAGCTGTGCCACAGAGATGAATTCTGAACAAAGCAAACCCTGTGTGCCTGTGGTTGCTGCCTTGGATGTAGCAGACCAGATGTAGATGCCTTCTGTAGGCAACTTTTGGCATTGCTAACTGAAATTCTGTTCCACTGGGCAAGAAAGTGATGATTTACACGTGCTTCTGCAATGCTTTGGATATGCTAAAAAAAAAATTAAAATTGGAAAGCATGCACTGTATCCAGACAAAACCAGTCATCAGTGCTGTTCCTGTAGCATTGCAGATACCTTAATTTAGAATAAAAGTGGCTTCTGGATTTTGAGACTTCATTAATTAAAAAAGGTGAGAGGGAATGAAAGAGTTGGAGAGAGAAAGGACCCAGTCTAAAGGTAAGGGATTTCAAGTTTTTGTGTTGATTTTGTTTCTTGTAGTTGATATTTGTGCTTTTTTTCCCTTTTTCTTTTTTCTTTTTTTTTTTTGCTACATATTGAAGCAATCCACATTAGGAAGGCACAAAGCAGACAGATGCATGTAGGCTGAAATGGAATTTAAAAAGGAAAGTCAGGACTTCACAATTTAAACAAATATTTACTAGCAAATAATTATCAGCAAGGCTGATAAATATTTATTTGAGCTCAGGAACCCAATAATATGCCACACATGGAACAATTGTTTTTTTCTATGACTATGAAGGTAGGAACAGCATGTGGAATAATTGATACAGAGCCATCAACTCTGTCTCTGCACCCAAATGGAATGGGTTTGTTATAAAACAGCGATTTTTGACCCTAATTTGTAGGTCTCTACCATGTATTATAGTAATGTACTGAAAATAGCATTTACAAATTATTCAAACCATATGGTTACCCCTTCTAAATAATCCTGATTTTATTTATCTGCTGATGTGGGAAGAGAAGTGCTTTGGGATATTGCTGGTGAGCAAGGATGGGGCTGTGCTCATTGCTTGCTGCACAGTTTTTGTCTCCAGTTCTCCATCTGCCTCGCTGCTGGTCACAGCTGTATGGTGTTCTGAAGATGTCTGTAAGCTTAAATCCTCTCAGAATGGTAGGGAGATTTCCCAAGGCATTTCTGTGATGTTCTCTTCATCATTTTTATAAAAAAAAAAGCTTAATTTTCTGACTTTTCAGGCATTCTTCCAATTTCATGGTAGTGTGCGCTTGGGAAAAGGTGATCTTGGTGGTTTGAGTTATATTTTTGCAAGAGCAAAAGATTTGAGATACAGGAAGTTAGCAAGTTAAAAGGTTTTTGTTTAGTTTCTTGGCAATTTAAAATTTAAAATATTTAAATTTTTAATAAAGTTTTTGTTTGGTTGTTTTAAACTACCAGTTTATCAACTCTTGAATATATTGAGTGTTCACAAAATTTGTAGCAAATGGCAGAATGGTTAAAAGCATCCCCATTGAGAAGGAATTTCTGAAGGTTTTGCTCGTTGTCGATTTTTTTGTGAAGGCATTAGTCTCCAACAGCTTCGATTTTTCTAGATAGCTGCTTCCAGTACCTTCCATAATTTTGCAGCTCCACAGCCAATCCAACCTTCTTCTTCCTTAATATTTTACTGGTTTCTTGAGAAAGTAACTGACAGACTCTGGCACCAACTTTTCCTCCACTGGCATTCTTCCTTGCTGCTGCCAGATTTCCCTGTTTATTCCTTCATTCACAGGGCTCGCTTTCCCACTTTTTTGTCTAATCCATGTCTTCTGCTGTCCTTAGATTATGACTGTTGCCTTGCAATAAACACTAGGTTTGGTACAACTTCCCTTGATCTCAGATTCCCCTTCAAGCATGAGATAAAACCTTCTTCCTGCTTTTGCTCCAAGTCTCTATGTGCAGCATTGATTCCCACCTTTCAGTTTTCAGTTCTGCCATACCTTCTTGGGTCTTTGCCACTCTGGTCTCTCTGTTTCATCTTTCCAGATGAACTTGCCCTTCAGCAAGTTCACATTTTATCTTTTCGCTTTACACAAACCTCCTGTGCCTGTCTGATGGAAAATTTATTTTACATTACCATCATTAACTTCCATGGGCCTTATGGTTCTATCAAGCACATGCTCAAGTGTTGTGCTAATAGAGGCACATTGGCTGGATGAGTCATCCCCTAAAATCTGTTCTCTTTTTCTGACTGTCCCTGGTTCCCAGGAAGGCCGCTACCAGCTCGGGTAAAAGTGCCCTGGCTGGGGCTGGTACCCAGGTGCTCTGTTTTGGCAGCCCTTTAGTCACCAAGTTTTATACTTTGACCCCTTAAGCCCTCTACTTCATTTCAGTTTGTTCTTTCTGGTGATTAATTGCTTTCTGTCATGTGTCTTTTTCTCTAAGCCCTTTCTCAGTGAGAGAGTTGAGGTTTCCGTAAGTGTCTAAGTCTGTGGAAGAGATAAAATGTTGGTGATCACTGGATGTGCTTATTTTCTCAGCCTTCTCTGGTAGGCAGTCCAGCATTACTTTTAATTTAATATATAGATTTTTCTTCTCTTGAGTTTTTTAATTGTGTTTTGGGTCAGTGCAAAGTTTGAGCACAGACACAGTTTTGCAGCAGTTCCAGAATATGACAGGGATGGTGAGATGAACTGTGCTTATTCTTATTATTAGTTTCATTTGGTACTTCCTAATACTGGAAGAGACAAGTGAAAAATTTATCATTCTTTATTCTGCTTAAGAAATTTTAGGCTCTTTCCATATCTACCCTTAAGATATTTTTCAGGCTGAAGATTGTTCAGAAGTCCTTAAATGCCTTTGATCATCTGTGTCACTCTTTGTACCTTTTTGTCCACATCTTTTTAAAAAGAGTGAGACCAGAACTGTACGTGTTCTGAGAACACTACAGGTTTATTCCCTGGCACCGTGAAATTTCTTAGTTCTCTTTTCCTTTCTGGTCTTGTGGATTATTCTGTTTTTAACAGAACAATGAGATGGCATTGTCATAAAATTTCCTAATAAAGTCTTTCCTGAATAGTAATACCTAGCTCAGAACGCATCACTGCATCTATAGTTTGTGTATTTTATTCCAATTTTTTTAAATTATTCTGCATAAATTTATGCTTAGTGTCATCTGTCCAGTCATGAAAAATCATGATGTACTTTTGCAAGTGAGATTTCTATTTTTCTGATGTTTTTCAGGGTAACTTAGAAAATTAAGGGAATAGGGGATGAATAGTCAGTTTACAAAGCATACAAACAGTGCCAACCTGCTCTTTGCCCTACCTTCTTTTTTTTCTGAACTGACCCTTCTCGGGTTATCATATCTCAACTTTTTCCTTTTTTTATCTAGTTTGTTCTCTTACTGTATTTTTACTCCAAATTTAAAAATTCAGTTTTGGAGAATCAGAAGAAGATGAAGTACAAGGTACGTTTTATGGTAGGAATTAACAGAAGGCCAAGAATCCAGGGAAACTTTCTGATTATTTATAAGAATGCATGGTATGATTTCAAATGTGTACTAATTTTCCAGCATGTTCTGGAGATTTTAATGATAACACTTCAAACAGATAAAAATAATCTGCAGCTTTTTCATTATTTTGGGGTTTTTTTTTAATTTATTCCCTTCTTCCCCACCTGCATATCAATCAAATGTGTTATATGACAAATACAAAGACGTATGTCCTGCCTTAGTATGCTCATCAAATACTGACTCCAAAACCAGCTCCTTTTTTTATCTCCCATATTGTTGGCACTGGAAATTGCTTGCTTGGCTCAGTTGCTCATGTAATTCCCTTTGCTCAAGCCTGTAATATCATTTCCAAATTGTGTATGCTCCAGAACCTGCTGTCACTTTGAGCTTGTGGGTTACTTTCCTGGAAATCTAACTAAATAGCTGATCTGTGGTATAAGCTGCAACACATACTTCCATCTTTTTTCTGAGAATTCTCTTCTGTGCATGGACTGGGAAGATTACTTAAACTAACACATTGTGTAATATATATTGTTTCAGTGTGTTTGCTTGAGATTTTCCAATTTCTAAGACAGACTCTCTATTTGAGATTCAAGTTGAAGGTAAATTGGAAATAAAAAAATAGAAAGGGGCTTGGAGTTGTAATGGAAAACAATAATTAGCTCTTCAGAATATTTTCCTGAAAATATTATTACATGCATGTTATACACATACAAACACAGACCAAAAAAAGGAATACATTATTTGACATGCACTTTAGAAGTTGACCTAGGCAAATTCAGCAAAAAGGATAAGATTTTTATTTCAAACTAGAAAATATTTTAGAGTGAAGATGTCTACTAACTGTAGTAACTAGCATTACTAGAATATTACTTGTTTCTAGAATTAGATTGTATTTGATCTAAACTTGTAGTATTAGATTCTCTAGACAGAATCAGAGATTTGTTAATAAATATCATCTTTATTTTTTAAAGTTCTTGAAAAAAGATTTTCAGAAAAAATTGTGGTCACTGTGTTTAGCTTTACTTTTGCTTTACTGCTCAGCTTTGCAAAATGATAGTAATTATTTTTCTTCCTCTCTTAACAGGTATATTTTTAAGTTCAGTAATACTCACATTTAAACCAGATTAAAATCATATTGAAGATGAAAAAAATCAGCTTCAGAGCAGCAAAAGG